CCAGGATTCCCTGGTGCAAATGGCGAGAAGGGCGCAAGAGTAAGATTTTATTAAAAATGACAAGCAGCATTAGTCAGAGTGATGTCAATGCCACATCTGCATTTATATTTTAAACATTAATAATTTAAATAGTATCACATAGGCTATGCTCCTTTATAAAAAAAAAATCTGAATTGATTCTGTTCTTTCCAGGGTTTGATTGGAAAACTTGGACCAAGAGGACTAAGAGGGCCTACCGTAAGGACCTGTTTTAATTCATCATCTCATCTCTTATCTTATTCTGTTTTCATTTGATTTGAGATGGATTGATATGTTGAAACTGTAGATTAAACTTATTTTTGTTAGATTCGGTCAAGCAAATATCTGATTTCAAATCAGTTCACTTATAAAGCAATGCTAAATTATTTTATTTTTTAATTTAGGGTCCCAGAGGGCAGAGGGGTCCCCGTGGATCAACAGGAAAACCAGGTGCTAAGGTATGAACATCATTTATGTATTCTCAAAAAATGAATTAAATTATGTTTAAATTATGTGTAAATAACCAATTCATTCTGATGTTTTAGGGCGGCTCAGGCAGTGACGGGCCTCCTGGACCACCTGGAGAGAGAGTATGTTTATTTAAAATTTAATTGTATTTATTTAAACATTTCAAAACCAGCCTAGATTTTTAGTTCATCTTTATTTTATTAGTAATGTTTCCTCTTTTTTTCAGGGATTAACCGGACCTCAAGGTGCAAATGGATTCCCTGGGCCAAAGGGACCTCCTGTAAGTTACAGTTTATTAGTTTGATCTGATGCTTGCCACTTAAGTTTTGTCTATTTCTTATTGATATGTCGATTGGTTTTTGAAGGGACCCCCGGGGAAAGATGGACTGCCTGGACACCCTGGACAGAGAGGCGAAGTTGTACGTATCTTTTGTCAACATTCATTGAGATCAAGATGAGATTACAAGTGCAACAAAATTAATTTTTCCGTTTTCATTGTATTCGTAGGGTTTCCAAGGCAAAGTTGGACCACCTGGACCACCAGGAGTGGTTGGACCACAGGTGAGTTTTGTAATTTTATTAGAGGTAGAGGCTTCTATATTGCTGCTTTGTAGTAGGTCGAGGCAATATGGATTTTACCTCTACCTGGAAATCTTTCAAATCAATTGAGAAATGTATTGAACTACGCAAGCGTTACTCAAATCTAGTTCTTGTTTAGGGTCCCTCTGGTGAGACTGGTCAGATGGGTGAGCGGGGCCACTCAGGACCCCCAGGACCACCCGGTGAGCAAGGCCTTCCTGGGCCCTCTGGTAAAGAGGGAACCAAAGGAGATCCCGGTCCATCTGGCGGCCCCGGTAAAGACGGACCCCCTGGACTGAGAGGATTCCCAGGAGAAAGAGGACTGCCAGGAACTCCGGTAATAAGACCAGCTCATTCCTGCCAGTGAATTTTAGATTGTAAAATTTGTAAAAATGTTTTTATACCTAATAACTGAGCTCTACCTGTGTATTTTCATAGGGAACTGGAGGACTGAAAGGAAATGAAGGGCCTGCTGGACCACCTGGACCTGCTGTATGTTGCTCATATTAAACAGATCATCAAAATATCATGAGTACTGACTGAGTACACAGACTGTGATTAGATCAGTTCTCTGCTGACTCATGAATAGGTGTATGTCTCATATTTTAACACAAAATAATCAGGAAAAATAAGAAATTATATTTTGCATGACCAAAAAACAAGATGTTTTGCATTTGCATCGTAAATTCTTAATTTCTTAATCATAAAGTCTTATTTAAATGAGCTTGAATGAAAAGTATCACAACAAATAAAACAATTTCCACATTACATCAATTACATTTTTGGGGTTTTTTTGCATTACAGTGGGCTTAAGATAATTCCTTAAGGCTTTGTTATGGAAATGTCACAATGAAATTTTTTTTTTTAATAATTTTTGAGGAATTCTGAAATCATATGTTGGCATTTTAACTAGTTGAATTTCTATGCAGGGCTCAGCTGGGGAGAGAGGAGGTGCTGGCACTGCAGGTCCCGTTGGCCCACCTGGACGACCTGGACCTCAGGGACCCCCTGGAGCTTCTGGAGAAAAAGGAGTGCCAGTAAGTTTGGACCAGATCTCTAATACAGTTTTATTTATAGGCCCATCACACAAGATCATCCTGTTTTACAGGGAGAGAAAGGTCCGATTGGTCCAGCTGGTCGCGATGGCATCCAAGGTCCAGTTGGTCTCCCCGGCCCTGCTGGACCTCCGGGTACTTCTGGAGAGGATGGAGACAAGGTCAGTGACCTCTGCATATCTTGATCTCAAATCATCACATTCAAATGGATGTCCTCATCAAAAATGAATTCTGCATTAATCTTTATAAAGGGTGAGGTTGGAGAGCCAGGACAAAAGGGAGGGAAAGGATCCAAAGGAGAACACGTAAGGAAATTAGCTTTCACTTAAAAAAACAAATCCTTGTTTTGATGAGCATAATATCGATCTATAATCAATTATTTGGATATTTACAGGGTCCTCCTGGTCCACTTGGGGCAATGGGTCCTGTTGGACAGCCTGGCGCAGCTGTAAGTGTGGAAGGAATTTCAAGAAAATCCTACATATTCACACATTACATGTTAAAGAAATGGAAATAAACTGGATTACAAATTCATGGTAACATTAATATGTTTTTATAACAAGTGCTTGTGATCAATCCCATTTCAAATCTCCTCATCTCTACTCAGGGTGCCGATGGTGAGACCGGTGCGAGAGGTCAGCAGGGACCGTTTGGCGCTAAGGGAGATGAAGGGACAAGAGGATTCCCTGGGCCTCCAGGCCCCATTGGACTACAGGTGTGGCATTCAAATCCAATTCAATTTTACACACAGGATGCATTAGTTATAAGTTTTAAGTTATACTTCATCCATGTTCATTAGGGTTTGCCAGGCACATCTGGAGAAAAGGGAGAGACAGGAGATGTTGGGCCATTGGTGAGTCTTAATATGTTGATTTGAAGAGAGTTAAGGGAATAAAAAAGTGCAGTTGTTATGTATAATGCAGCATATGATCTTCTAGTGTTTTGAATCACGATTGGAATGAATGTATTTCCTAATCTTCTCTGGTTGTATATTATTGTAGGGTCCTCCTGGTCCCCCAGGACCACGTGGTCCAGCTGGCCCCAATGGTGCTGACGTAAGTTAATTAATTTGGACTATAACCATTCATTATTATGTCTTAAAATCACTATGCATTGACTCTCTGTAATACTTGATCCAAATTAGTCAATCTGATAGCATACTGTGGTCAGTTAATGTTGTATAATGGCATTATTTTTGTTCGTTTTGCAGGGTCCTCAAGGTCCTCCAGGAGGTTTGGGTAATCCAGGTCCCTTAGGAGAGAAGGCAAGTATTAAACAATTCAGCTTTCTGAATGGATGACAACTGTATGATTGTTCTGATGAGTGTTTTATTTGTATTGACAGGGTGAGCCTGGTGAATCTGGACCCCCTGGTGTTGGTGGAGAGCCAGGAAAAATGGTGATCTATCAAATTTTTGTCATCCTCTGAGCCTATCGGAAATACTCACATTTATATTTATTCATTTATTAGATATAATCACAGCTAACATTTCATTGGTTTGCTCATCCAATGACAGGGCCCGAGAGGAGAGCGTGGTGAGAAGGGAGAGTCCGGGCAGCCTGGCACCGCTGGTCCTGCTGGTGGAAAGGGACCTACTGGAGATGATGGACCCAAAGGAAACCCTGTATGTGTTAAATGTGATGAACAAGAGATAGGTCTTTCTGTGACTCTTCAGCAGCTGATATTTGTATTTTTTAGGGTCCTGTTGGTTTCCCTGGAGATCCAGGCCCGCCTGGTGAAGTTGGACCACGAGTGAGTAGAGCCATTATCATTTATATACTAATACATGATACTTAAAATCAGCATAAATGAGGTCCTTTGTACATTCGTCATACATGTTCCTGGTCTTATTATAGTATATGATTCATCATTGCTCAGTGTTCCAACTATTATACCTCTCTTACAGGGCCAAGATGGTGCAAAGGGCGACCGAGGAGAGGACGGAGAACAAGGAGAAGCTGTGAGTGATCATTTTCCACACACATCTTCCTTAATCATACTGGCCCTTATGAGGTCTTAATCAACATGTTGTATTTACTTTAGGGTTCACCTGGACCGACTGGTGAGAACGGACCTCCTGGACCTCCAGGAAAGAGAGTAAGAGCACCTTGATCTTGATCTAGTTGTAATATTACGTTTACATATCTGATATACAATAAATATTATAGAGGATCTTATAAGAAGGCATATTTCTGGACTCTAATTGTGTGTTAATGTTCATATTTTAGGGTCCTGCAGGTACAAGGGGACCAGAGGGTCGTCAAGGAGAGAAAGGAAGCAAGGTAAGGCTCTAGAATTGAGAAATAATACGACAGACGTTCTGTGGTTCTTTTCCTCCTGTAATCTTTCTGTTATATCTAGGGCGATTCAGGTGCCCTCGGCCCTCCAGGAAAGACCGGCCCTGTTGGGGCACAGGGTCCACCAGGAAAACCAGGAACTGAAGGTCTGAGAGGGTTGCCTGGATCAGTGGTATGATATGACAGTTATCCAATCAGAATTGTTTAATTTCTGTAAAAGTTATGCTCATTTAACTAAATGATGTTCTGATAAACAGGGTGAGCAAGGTTCCCCAGGTGCTGCTGGCCAGAAAGGACCCTCTGGACCTTTGGTAAGACCTTCTGCATTATCAAAAATGCAGTAATGGATTGAGTATTGAATATATGAGTATTGATTCATGAAACTATTATAAGATAATATGTAATACTAAAATGCTTTCTCCTCCTCTTACAGGGTCCTCCAGGTCTACTTGGTCTTCGTGGTGACCCTGGTGCTAAGGGTGAGAAGGGACATCCAGGTATGCTTGGTCTGATTGGGCCTCCAGGAGAACAAGGAGAGAAGGGAGACCGAGGCATGCCAGGACCCCAGGGATCAACAGGACCCAAGGGAGAAACGGTGTGTGAAGTCTGGTCAAGTCTACACATCAAAATCAGACCACTGGAAAATATACACAACTGTTTAAAAGATTTTTTTTAATAGAAATGAATACTTTTATTCAGAAATGATGCATTCAATTGATCAAAGGTCACAGTAAAAACATTTATAATGTTACAAAAGGTTTCAGTTTCATATAAAAAAACATCTAAGCTTTTATTTTTATCTAAGAATTCTGTAGAAAATGCATTCCACAAAAATATGAAGCAGCATGTGTTTTCAACACTGATAATAAGACATTTCTCTTGAGCACATAATCAGCATATCAGTCATTTTAGAATGATTTCTGAAGAGAAATTTCAGCTTTGCCATCACAGGAATCAATTACACTTTAAAATATGTTAAAATAGAAAAAAGTGTAATGGCATTTCACAATATTGCTCTCTTACTGTATTTTTCTTCTTCAAATAAATGCAGCCTTAGTGAGTATAAGAGACTTCTTTCAAAAAAATTAAAACGTCTTACCAACTCCAAACCTTTTTTTTACATACATGCAAAACATTCCTAGTTCATACCCTATATCATAAAATAAAATATCATCTTTTTTCATTTCTTGATATGTTTTATTTTAGGGTATTTATTTTAGTTTTATTTTATTTTAGGGTATGTCTGGAGGCACTGGCCCTCTTGGCCCTGCCGGTCCTGCTGGTATGGCTGTGAGTAAACCTTTTACCATTTCTCAGTTTTGTAGTGCTGTTTATCATACCAAATTCAGAATTTTCTGGAAATATTCTTGAAACTATGAGTACACAACTTGAGCTCTGAAGCATCAAAACTCTCAAAACATTGGTTTGTTTGATTAAAGCTGAATGGATGTGATGTTTCTCACAGGGTCCGAGGGGTTTCAAAGGAGCTAAAGGTGCCACTGTGAGTAACCCATATAAAATCCTTCCTAAATATATGTACTTAACATAAAATGTCTGTTAATGAGTGTGAGAAGTATATCATGAGCCATATTATGTGCAGTAATGTTAAAATAAAGCATTATACATTGACACATTTTGTCTTAATAATTGTGTGTCTTATCTCTGTGGTACAGGGTGGAGCTGGTGTTAAAGGAGAAAAAGGTGTGCAAGGACCACCAGGACCACCGGTGAGTGTGTGATCTACAGTATAAAATGCAATATATCAATCATTTGAGACAAAGATTAAAGGAGATCAGCACATCCCAGAGTTCCTGCGTCCATGAAATGCAGCTGAATTCTTCTTTTGTTTTAGGGTCCCCCTGGTGATGTCATCCAGCCGCTGCCCATTCAGATCCCCAAGAAGTCCAAGCGCTCCATCGACGCCAGTAAGATGCTGTCTGAGACTGACACTGAGGCTGCCGACGCCACGGGCACAGAGTTCCTGACCGGTAATGAAGGGATGGAGGAGATCTTCGGCTCGCTCAATTCCCTGCGCCAGGAGATCGAGAGCATGCGCTTCCCGCTGGGAACGCAGGAAAGCCCGGCCCGCACCTGCCAGGACCTCCACCTCAGCCAACCAGATCTGAAAGACGGTATGACATCATGATTATTACGTGATAGACACATTCAATGGCCAACGGTGATCGAATCATTATGATTCTTTTCTTCAGGCGAGTACTGGGTTGATCCAAATCAAGGCTGCGCCCGCGACTCTTTTAGAGTTTACTGTAACTTCACTGCCGGTGGAGAGACGTGCCTGTATCCCAGCAAAGCAGTGGAGAATGTAAGAACTAGCAGTCATTCACTTTTATATGTTTAAACATAAGATTTAAGAAATCTGAACTTCTGAATCCTGTTTAATTTGTCCAATAGGTAAAGATGAACTCCTGGCCAAAGGAAAAGCCTGGGTCCTGGTACAGTCAGTTTGCAAATGGTGACAAGGTGAGTTTATTGCCTCAAACTCTTTGAAATCATATCTGTATGTTTAATTTAGACAACTAATATACATGAAAAAGCTATTGTATCAATTAAAGGTATTCACATTGAAAGTGATTTTCAATAACAAAGCATCCATAATTTCCATTTCCAATTAATTCAGTGTGAACACCCTGTTAGATAGCAAAATCTCAAGCTTAAAGTGGTGTCAAGCTTAATCTATTTTGAATCATTAATTAATATTTTCCTTTGTGTTATAGTTTTCCTATGTTGACTTGAGTGGAGAGCCTGTAGGTGTCGTCCAGCTGGGATTCTTGCGGTTGCTCAGCGTCCAGGCCCGTCAAAACCTAACCTACCACTGCCACCGGTCAGTGGCCTGGGCTGACCTCACGACCGACGGCGGTTACCAGCGGGCGCTACACTTCCAGGGAGCCAACGATGAAGAGCTGAGCTACGAGACCAGTCCCTACATCAAAGCCCTCGTCGACGGATGCTCTGTGAGTAACCTCATGCGCTTTCAAAACTAATACAAGAGATAAATAAAAGCTAACATAACTCCACAAATCATTTTAATGGACTCTATGCACGGCGGTATTTCTGGTGAAGGTCTAAGGATGCTGGATTACTTACGTTGATCGTAGAGTCCAATGCTATACCGAGAATTTATATTGGTTTTTATAGACTATGGCTATACTAAAGAAACATTAGTCACAAAAACAGACACCCCTCATTTTGTTTATGCTTTTTTGTTTATTATATTAAATAGTAGGACTGTCAAACAATTAATCGCGATTTATCGCATCCAAAATAAAAGTTTGTGTATACATAATATATGTGGGTGCACTGTGTATAATTATTTTGTATATACTATATGTAAATACACACACACACATGCATGTATATTTAAGAAAAAAATATTATTTATATATACAATATTTATATTTTTATATAATATAAATCTATATACAGTATATACATGAAAATATTTCTTAAATATATACATGCATGTGTGTGTATTTACATATATAAGATAATTATACACAGTGCACCCACATATATTATGTCAACACAAACTTTTATTTTGGATGCGATTAATCACGATTAATTGTTTGACAGCCCTATTAAATAAACATAACTATATACAAAATGACATCTAAACGTATTAAAGTTTCGCTTCAAAGACGGGAGGACAGTAAATTTTCGTTTTCCTCGGTTTTCCTCCGCTTTAAATCTCCCCAACCGGAAACTGAAGAGCAGCCTTGTGTCAAACGCGGAACTTATGCGTGCATTATTTTTTTGTTTGTATGTTTAATAATTAATATTTTATTAATGTTTAATAATTAGTCATGTTAATTAGTAAGTATCTTATGCTCACCATGGCTGCAATTATTTTGTAAAAAATACAGTAAAACCGTAATTTTATTTTAAAATATTTTTTACAATTTAAATTAACTCTTGTCTATTTTAATATATTTAAAGTGTAATTTCTTCCTGTGATAGCGAAGCTGGATTTTTCCGTTTTTGTCACATGATCCTTCACACTGTTGCAAAAAAATAATGATAGCATCATTAAAAGCTCAATAAAAGAGTGTATAAAAATGTGTAGTTTGGTTTGATTTTGTTTTCGTTGGAAGAATACATTAAAGTAATGTAAAGTCGACTAGGTATTTTATGAAAATGTAAATTTTGCTTGTACAAAAGTGCACATACAAAGCTATTTTTCAAACGATTAATCGCGATTAATCACATCCAAAATAAAAGTTTGTGTTTACATAATACAGTATATGTGGGTGCACTGTGTATAATTATTTTATATAAATACACACAAAATATTATTTAAAATATTTATATATAATATAAATTATATATAAACCTATGTACAGTATATACATGAAAAATTTCTTAAATATATACAAGCATGTGTGTGTATTTATATATATATATATATATATATATATAAAACATTGAGATATTGAGATCCCACGTAGCATTTATGCTATTATAAATATCTTGATATCTCAGCTCTGGAAGGGTCTAGAGCCTCCATTTTTGCACTCAGGTCTAAGTCTCTTGTCCCTCTATCAGAATCCAGAGTTTCAAGAAGATCAGAGAAACTCAAAATTTCGCCTTTCGTTTTTTTTTTTTGATCTGAAAAAATAAGTTTCTCCAATCTTCTTGAAACTCTGGATTCTGATAGAGGGCTGTGAGACTTAGACCTGAGTGCAAAAATGGATGCTCTAGACCCTTCCAGAGCTGAGATATTAAGATATTTATAATGGCATAAATGCTATGTGGGATCTCAATATCTCAGCTCTGGAAGGGTCTAGAGCCTCCATTTTTGCACTCAGGTCTAAGTCTCGTGGCCCTCTATCAGAATCCAGAGTTTCAAGAAGATTGGAGAAACTTATTTTTTCGGACCAAAAAAAAAACGAAAGGGTTAGGAGACTTTGACCTGAGTGCAAAAATGGAGGCTCTAGACCCTTCCAGAGCTGAGATATCGAAATTCAAAATTTCGACCGGAAAAAAAAACCGACAGTGTTACCCCTTTTGTTTTTTTTCATTTTTGGGCGAAAAATTAAGTTTCTCCAATCTTTTCAAAACTCTGGATTATGATAGAGGGCTGTGAGACTTTGACCTGAGTGCAAAAATGGAGGCTCTAGACCCTTCCAGAGCTGAGATATCGAAATTCAAAATTTCGACCGGAAAAAAAAAACGACAGTGTTACCCCTTTCGTTATTTTCATTTTTGGGCGAAAAATTAAGTTTCTCCAATCTTCTCAAAACTCTGGATTATGATAGAGGGCTGTGAGACTTTGACCTGAGTGCAAAAATGGAGGCTCTAGACCCTTCCAGAGCTGAGATATCGAAATTCAAAATTTCGACCGAAAAAAAAAACGACAGTTTACCCCTTTCGTTTTTTTTTCATTTTTGGGCGAAAAATTAAGTTCCTCCAATCTTCTCAAAACTCTGGATTATGATAGAGGGCTGTGAGACTTTGACCTGAGTGCAAAAATGGAGGCTCTAGACCCTTCCAGAGCTGAGATATCGAAATTCAAAATTTCGACCGGAAAAAAAAACGACAGTGTTACCCCTTTCGTTTTTTTTTCATTTTTGGGCGAAAAATTAAGTTTCTCCAATCTTCTCAAAACTCTGGATTATGATAGAGGGCTGTGAGACTTTGACCTGAGTGCAAAAATGGAGGCTCTAGACCCTTCCAGAGCTGAGATATAGAAATTCAAAATTTCGACCCGAAAAAAAAACGACAGTGTTACCCCTTACGTTTTTTTGCGTTTTTGGGCGAAAAATCAAGTTTCTCCAATCTTCTCAAAACTCTGGATTATGATAGAGGGCACTGAGACTTACACCTGAGTGCAAAAATGGAGGCTCTAGACCCTTCCAGAGCTGAGATATCGAAACTCAAAATTTCGACCCGAAAAAAAAACGACAGTGTTACCCCTTACGTTTTTTTTTTGGGCGAAAAATTAAGTTTCTCCAATCTTCTCAAAACTCTGGATTCTGATAGAGGGCACTGAGACTTAGACCTGAGTGCAAAAATGGAGGCTCTAGACCCTTCCAGAGCTGAGATATCGAAACTCAAAATTTCGACCCGAAAAAAAAACGACAGTGTTACCCCTTTCGTTTTTTTTCATTTTTGGGCGAAAAATTAAGTTTCTCCAATCTTCTCAAAACTCTGGATTATGATAGAGGGCTGTGAGACTTTGACCTGAGTGCAAAAATGGAGGCTCTAGACCCTTCCAGAGCTGAGATATCGAAATTCAAAATTTCGACCCGAAAAAAAAAACGACAGTGTTACCCCTTTCGTTTTTTTTCATTTTTGGGCGAAAAATTAAGTTTCTCCAATCTTCTCAAAACTCTGGATTATGATAGAGGGCTGTGAGACTTTGACCTGAGTGCAAAAATGGAGGCTCTAGACCCTTCCAGAGCTGAGATATCGAAATTCAAAATTTCGACCCGAAAAAAAAACGACAGTGTTACCCCTTTCGTTTTTTTTCATTTTTGGGCGAAAAATTAAGTTTCTCCAATCTTCTCAAAACTCTGGATTATGATAGAGGGCTGTGAGACTTTGACCTGAGTGCAAAAATGGAGGCTCTAGACCCTTCCAGAGCTGAGATATCGAAATTCAAAATTTCGACCCGAAAAAAAAAACGACAGTGTTACCCCTTTCGTTTTTTTTCATTTTTGGGCGAAAAATTAAGTTTCTCCAATCTTCTCAAAACTCTGGATTATGATAGAGGGCTGTGAGACTTTGACCTGAGTGCAAAAATGGAGGCTCTAGACCCTTCCAGAGCTGAGATATCGAAATTCAAAATTTCGACCCGAAAAAAAAACGACAGTGTTACCCCTTTCGTTTTTTTTCATTTTTGGGCGAAAAATTAAGTTTCTCCAATCTTCTCAAAACTCTGGATTATGATAGAGGGCTGTGAGACTTTGACCTGAGTGCAAAAATGGAGGCTCTAGACCCTTCCAGAGCTGAGATATCGAAATTCAAAATTTCGACCCGAAAAAAAAAACGACAGTGTTACCCCTTTCGTTTTTTTTCATTTTTGGGCGAAAAATTAAGTTTCTCCAATCTTCTCAAAACTCTGGATTATGATAGAGGGCTGTGAGACTTTGACCTGAGTGCAAAAATGGAGGCTCTAGACCCTTCCAGAGCTGAGATATCGAAATTCAAAATTTCGACCCGAAAAAAAAACGACAGTGTTACCCCTTTCGTTTTTTTTCATTTTTGGGCGAAAAATTAAGTTTCTCCAATCTTCTCAAAACTCTGGATTATGATAGAGGGCTGTGAGACTTTGACCTGAGTGCAAAAATGGAGGCTCTAGACCCTTCCAGAGCTGAGATATCGAAATTCAAAATTTCGACCCGAAAAAAAAAACGACAGTGTTACCCCTTTCGTTTTTTTTCATTTTTGGGCGAAAAATTAAGTTTCTCCAATCTTCTCAAAACTCTGGATTATGATAGAGGGCTGTGAGACTTTGACCTGAGTGCAAAAATGGAGGCTCTAGACCCTTCCAGAGCTGAGATATCGAAATTCAAAATTTCGACCCGAAAAAAAAACGACAGTGTTACCCCTTTCGTTTTTTTTCATTTTTGGGCGAAAAATTAAGTTTCTCCAATCTTCTCAAAACTCTGGATTATGATAGAGGGCTGTGAGACTTTGACCTGAGTGCAAAAATGGAGGCTCTAGACCCTTCCAGAGCTGAGATATCGAAATTCAAAATTTCGACCCGAAAAAAAAACGACAGTGTTACCCCTTTCGTTTTTTTCATTTTTGGGCGAAAAATTAAGTTTCTCCAATCTTCTCAAAACTCTGGATTATGATAGAGGGCTGTGAGACTTTGACCTGAGTGCAAAAATGGAGGCTCTAGACCCTTCCAGAGCTGAGATATCGAAATTCAAAATTTCGACCCGAAAAAAAAACGACAGTGTTACCCCTTTCGTTTTTTTTCATTTTTGGGCGAAAAATTAAGTTTCTC